TCAGTGAATCAAGTAATATTATAATTCATTATTTAATAAGGCTTGCTCTCTTTTGAGCTAATAATCATATATTTGCTATTTAAACTATTGTAGAATAATAATATGAAAGAGTTTTACCCTGATGATAATAGTACTGATAGTGAACCAGAAGGCGTGGCTGGTATGATTTAACTGAATGCAAAATCCATATTATCGTTATTATTATATATTTATATACAGTTGTTTTTTCGCTCATTAGAAACAGATGTTCAAACAATCAAAATAGAAAGTATTGAAGAGGCAAAGTTGAATGAAAGTGAAGATGAGAGTTACTACAATGAGGAAGAAACGCAAGAACAGGCATTAAATCAACAATTAGATTTAAGTGAAAAATTACAGAGTTCTATGAAACTCGATATCCCAGCTTGGGATAAGTATAATCTGGATGAGTATGGTGAAGATAAAGATGCTGAAGAGGATATCAATCAAGGAAGCAGTGATAAATCGGTAATAATCTGTTAATAATAAAGTATGGGGGTTAGATAATTTAATAATACATCTCTCGACATACAGAAAAAGAAATATATATCTGTGAAAGAAAGGCGAATGCTAAAAAAGCAAAAGCAAGATGCTATTGGGGATAAAGATTCTAGAACTCTTGTACCGTCTGCCTCTGATTCGCCTGGAGATTTAGCATCACAAAAAGGATCCAATGTTTCTGGGAAAGGAAAGGTAATTAGTTGTCTTGATTAATTTTTGATATGATCAATTACTTACTTTTAACTATTCTGTTTAATAGCAAACAAAATCAGTACAAACACCTCGTGGCAAAAAAGGAAAATTGAAAAAATTGAAGGACAAGTATGCTGACCAAGATGAAGATGAAAGATCCTTACGCATGGAGTTGCTCGGTGTAAGAATATTTACATATTGTAGTGGTGTGCATAAATTACCTTTTCCTTTGAATGTTATTAATAAAATTTTTTATAGTCAAGTAAAACACCTCAAGTCAAAGGCAAGAAAGGGAAAAAGGAAGCGCAGAATCAAACAGTTTCTAAACAAACTACAAGTAATTTGAAAGAGAATTCAATCGACTTGAACAAATATCAAAACGATACGCAAGAAGATCCAACATCTCAAAATCAGGAAGCGGAACTTGAAGAGCTTGACGAAAATTTGGTAAGCAATATATTCATACATTTACGCAAGTGTAATTCAATTTAATGCATTACTTATTTACACTATAAAATCAAAAAAAAAAAATAGATTTCAGGAATTAAAAATGAAGATGAAGAGATTCGTCAACTTTTGAAGGAAGAAAATATTACACTTTTGGAATCTGATGCAATAGTGAGTATATATTTTGAGCGGTCGCTTTCCTCCTTTACTTGATATTAAATGG